TATATGCCTAAGTGGTTGATTAGTGAGCACCACAATAGGGTGAGACCGAAAACACTGCCGGAGTTTTCGTGCTGCTATCACCAAGGCAAGGGCAAGTTGTTCCGCCAAAGTATACCTTGTTTCCGCATCTAGTAGGACTTTGCTTATATAGTAGATGGGTTGTTGGACTCTGTTAACCTCTTTCACCAAGACCCCACTGACCGCGTTTTGAGATACGGCCAAGTACAAAAATAAGGTGTCACCAGGCTCAGGCCTAGTGAGAATAGGAGGAGATGCCAATGTTTGCTTGAACTCCTGAAAAGCTTTCTTACAGTCTTCACTCCAATCAAAGCCTTGGTTTCCTCTGAGGACTTTGAAGAAGGGATAGCACCTGTCTGATGCTCAAGACATGAACCTGTTCAAGGCTGTTATCCTACCAGTCAACCTTTGTACCTCTTTCTTGTTCCTTGGTAATTCCATAGATGCCAAGACTTTTATTTTGTCGGGGTTAGCCTCTATCCCCCGGTGAGTGATCATAAAGCCCAAGAACTTGCCCGAGGCTATGCCAAATGCACATTTTGCTGGGTTCAACTTCATTCTGTACTTTCGCAAGGTGTCGAAAACCTCTTCAAGATCTGAAATATGTTGGTCTACCCATTTGCTCTTGACCACCATGTCATCAACTTACGCTTCCACATTCCTTCCTATCAAGTTAGCAAAGACTTTGTTGATGAGCCTTTGGTATGTTGCCCCTGCATTCTTCAAACCGAAAGGCATGACCTTATAATAGTATATGGTGAAATCGGCCATGAATGACGTCTTTTCTTGATCCTCCTCGGCCATAAGGATTTGATGATAATCAGAAAATGCATCTAAGAAGCTGTATAGCTTATGTCCAGATGTGCTATCCACCAAGTTGTCAATCCGCGATAGGGGATAACTATCTTTTGGATATGCTTTGTTAAGATCTGTGAAGTCAATGCAGACCCTCCACTTACCATTGACCTTCTTCACTAAAACAACATTGGAAAGCCAATCGGGATATTGGACCTCCCGAATGAATTGAGCACTGACGAGTTTGTTAATTTCTTCGCGAATGACCTCCCGACGTTCTGGGGCAGACTGTCTTTTCCTCTGCTTTACTGGTCTAGCCCTTAGGCTAATGTTAAGCCTGTGGACTGCAATTTTGGGGTCTATCCTTGGCATATCCTCAACCTTCCAGGCAAAAACGTCGATGTTGCGAGATAAGCAACCAATAAGTTCTGTCTTTAGGGTGACGTCAAGATCCCGACCATTCGTCACCTTCTTATCATGCTCGAACTCGATTTCCATCAATTCTTCGACAGGAGCAAGTCTGACTTGTTGCCCTGTCTCGGGCTCTGTCCTCGAGATTTGCATGGCGTCGTTCTTTGTTTCCCGAACGCTGGCAACATAGCATTGTCTGGCAGCTGCTTGGTCTCCAGGCACGACCCCAATCCCATTACTTGTTGGAAACTTCATGGCTAGGTGAAAGGTAGACACAATGGCTTTGATCTTGTTCAGGAGTGGTCTTCCCAGGATAGCATTATAGGCCATTGAGACACGTACCACTTGAAAAGATGTCATCTCCGTAACCTGTTTCTAGCCAGAACCTAAAGTTAGAGGAATCTCGACGATACCCTCTTGAGTGATGACTCCTCCCCCAAACCCCTGGAAAGGAGTTTTAACCGCTTTGAGCTGCTGAGATGAGATTCCCATTTTGGCAAAAGCCTCTTATGAAAGTATATTGACCGCACTCCCGTTATTAACCAAGATTCTCTTTACTTCAAAATTGGCCACAATCGCTGAGATGACCAAGGCATCATCATGTGGAAGTGATACACCTTCCAAGTCCCTGGTTCCAAAAGTAATATCCTCCAGCTTTCCATGAGGCATCCCAGAGGCCAAGGTATATTGTCGGGCATATTGTTTTCTTCCACTGTTCGAGTCTCCTCCCGAGACAATACCCCTAATGATGATATTGATGGTTCCAGCAATGGGTTGACCATCCCTTTTTGCTTCAGGGGCTCTTTTCCTACCACGATCGTTCCTCAGTCGTTTGTCGTTACCGACGTAGGAACTCAAGAGTTCTCTTTTAATAAGGGTTTCAATCTCTCGTTACAGGGCCTTACAGTTTTCCGTGGTATGCCAATGATCCCAATTGAACTCACAGTACGTGTTCATGTCCCTGGATTCAGGTGGTGACCTCATTCTGGCAGGCCATTTGAGTTCCTTCATATCCTTGATATCCATCAATATATTTGTTTTTGACGTATTTAAACGCGTGAATGACGTCGGGGGAACCTCCTGTCTCTGTTTTCTCCGAGGTGGTTCTTGATGGCGGTTCGGGTCGTGTTGTCGTTTATGCTCGACCCTATCATGGGATGGTCCAAACTTTCTCAGGTTCAGTGTTTCCTCCATATTTATGTACTTCTCGGCTTGGGTAAGAAGCTCGATCACTGTCTTTGGTGGAGTTTTGATAACGACATCTTGAAAGCCTCACACTTTATGGCATATGTAAGGGCAGAAACTGCTGCAGTTATATTTAGGTCGGGAATCTGAAGTCTTTCCTTGTTGAACCTAGTCATAAAGTCACGTAGGGTCTCATTTTGCCCTTGTCTAAGTTACATGAGGGAATCCGTTGTCTTCCTGATGCGTTTACTGCTTGTGAAGAAAGCGAGAACTTGTCCGCCAAATTCAAGAATGAGGCTATGGAGTTGGGCTCTAAGGTTGAGAACCAATCCCTAGCAGCATTCGTCAAAATTTGCGGGAAAGCCTTGCACATCACCTGATCCGGTGCGACCTGTAGATTCATGACGTCCGTGTATACGTTAAGATGATTGATTGGATCGGTGGTCCCGTCATATTCTTTGATCCTAGGATACTTAAATCTGTTTGGGAAGGGGAATGTTAAAATCTCGGGAGTAAAAGGAGTGTTAGGACTGAATCTTGTTGACCCTTTGTTGCCCTGAAATAGGCCTGCCGTAATTCCTTCTTGAATAATCCTAGCGAGTTCTCTGGACTCCATGGTCACTGATCTCGAGGCCGAGGTCACATGTGGTATGCCCGAGGCCCCTGCTCCGCCATTGTCAGGGACATGTCGCTAAGCTTGAGCTCGAGCATCAGCCATAAAACCCCCTTGGGGTGCCGGTGTGGGTGACGGATGTGAATTCCTTTGACTTAGTAGCTGAGTCAATGTGGCGACCTGTTGTCTGAGCTCTTCGAAGGCTCCGGTAGTGACGACTGCCGGCTGGGGCTCTGGCACTTCTGATTATTCCTCTTGATAAACAAGGATATCCTTAAGAGGAGGTTGGTTTGGAGCAGATGAGCTTGCTGGTGGAAGACCTAAACATGTGTTTACCATGACTTTTGGTAACGCTTCCCACAGACGACGCCAATGATACTACCAAAAATCGTACCTGTTGATTTTTCGAGCTTGACGACTAATAATGAGCACTAACGAGATCTTCCGGTACCTGAAACAAAGGCGTCGAGGTGTGTCCTCGTCGCCCCTCCGATGCTTAAGTCAGAGAGAGAATTTGTGCGTAAGGCTATGAACTGAAAATTATGTAAAACGTACCTGAATAATGATCAAAGGCTTTGTATTTATAGAGGTAGGTGGTGTGTTCATACTAGGATTCCGTAGTGCACTTGTAATAGGGCAGCTTGATTTTGCAATCTTATACCAATGAGTCCTACGCGAGATAGGAGTTTGAATTGTGGTATAACTGGGATACCAATTATTTAATAGAGTTCTTTTGGGCATAGGAGACATAGGTTGAGGAGTTTAAGTCAGAATAAATTTCTTATTGGATAAGTCGTTGACACCAGGGACATGTCGAGGACATAATCCCGAGGACACGTCGAATGACGTTCTACAAACTCTTGGATCAAGAGCTCGGGCATGTGAAAGACATCCGGAGCACATATATCCCGAGCATACTGATACACAAATCGATGGAATAGAGTCCTCGGGTTTGTATACGTCGGGAACAGTATTTGGTAACATCAGAACTAATTTTAGAATTTTGAATTTTAAAGTAATGCTTGGTGTAATTTTCACTTTTTTCTATTTTTAATTTTCACTCCAATCCCAATTTAATCAAATTGACTTGAGTTTTACACAAATATCTTATTCTACTGTAGTGTCGTTCTGAAAAAATCAAATAGGAAGATTGTTTGTGCTTCTCTTCATTATTATGAGTTCGTTGTCTTCCTCTTATTGTGATTTTAATAAACTAATCTATGAATGACTCAACAAAGAGATAAGTTAAAAATATTACAGGACTGGACTGCGTCAATTTGTAAGAGCTAAAATCGAACATATCATTAGTTGAATTAATGTAGCGTTGTTGTAAATATTAAAGAATTTAATTACTGTATGAAACTTGAGAATCGAACCGAATCGAACCTAATTCGAATGATTCCATAATTAAATTTTGGACCCAACGATTTCACTCACTAAATATCCAAAAATTTAGGTTTGGTATCGAATTGGACCATGTCGTCCGGCCTAAAGAATACCAAAACTAGAATCCACCGGAGAGTGAAAATATAACTTATGAAATTTTATTAATTAAAACTATTCCAAAAAAGGAAGAATTAACCCTTCATTTGTAAAGGTTTACATGAAAACCTAGTTTAAAAAAACTAAAATTAAAGTCAAGCGAAATGACAAAAATAGTACTAAATTTTAAAAAGCAGTTTTCAAGTCTTAAACGAACTTGAATGACTAAAATTCATCATAATCACAACATTGTGAGTTATTATGGACCCAAATTAAAACTCGAACGTCAAATCTATAGTTTATTATTTTTTCCTTTTCGATCGAACCATTCTTCAATCCATTCCACTATATGTCATTCATTGATAATAAATAGAGATTCATGAATTTGATCAATGAAATACATTTCATTAAATACAAATAAAAACATTATGCGGAACTGTAAATGAGATATTTAGAAGAGTAAAGCGTGAAAATAGCATTATTCTATTTTTTTAAATGAAAAGACAGGAGGAGAGTGTGTTAAATAAGTGCAGTGCAGAGTTTGCGTGTCAGTTTTCCAGCTGTATCCCAAATGAAATCCCACAAACTACCTCCTTTAAGCGGTGCGATGCCCGTCCAACACCTCATTCCTATCCCCTTCCTCACACTCATATATATATTAAACACTCTTCGTCTTCTTTCTCTAGTTTCATCACCAGAATAATTAATCTTTTGATGTTTTGATAAAAATGGCGATGACAACCACTCTTTGTAAGAAAATGGATATGGATCGGATCAAGGGTCCATGGAGTCCTGAAGAGGACGAGCTTTTACAGCAGCTGGTGCAAAGCCTTGGACCCAGAAACTGGTCCTTGATTAGCAAGTCCATACCCAGGAGATCAGGGAAAAGTTGTCGGTTGAGATGGTGCAACCAGCTTTCGCCTCAGGTGGAGCACCGGGCCTTTACTTCTGAGGAGGACCAGACGATCATCCGGGCCCATGCTAAGTTTGGTAACAAATGGGCCACCATAGCCCGGCTCCTTTCTGGTCGGACTGATAACGCGATCAAGAATCACTGGAACTCGACCTTGAAAAGGAAGTGCTCTTCTATGAGTTCTGAAGAAGGAAATAATGAGTTTATGAATTATAACCAGCAGCCTTTGAAGAGATCCGTGAGTGCCGGGTCAGGTGTTCGTATTTACTTGAATCCTTGTAGCCCATCCGGGTCGGATGCCAGTGAGTCAAGTTTACCGGTAATGTCGGCTTCTCGCGTTTTTAAACCGCTGGCGAGAGCCGGCGTCGCTTTCCCATCTCCGGTCGAAACCGGGTCATCGAGTAACGATCCTCCGACTTCTCTAAGCTTGTCGCTCCCTGGAGTTGACTCGTTGCGGTCACTGAATTCCAAGCCTGAGTCAATTCAGTCAAAAAATTCCCTCCAGCTTCTCTCAGTCCCACCACCTTTCTTGCCCGCCTTACCGCCTCCGCCTCCGCCTCCACCTGCTCCAGCAGCATTGCCACAGGCTAAAACTGCTACTGCAATCCAACCACAAACTCCAACTTATCGAAAGACGGCACCTGGATCAATTTCTAAGGCGGCACGACCTCTATCACCGCTGGTGCAGATTCAACAACAGCAAGATAAGGTTTTTGTGCCATTTACAGAAGAGTTGATGTCGGTGATGCAGGGCATGATAAGAGCAGAGGTTAGAAATTACATGATGGGGCTAGAACAGAAAAAGCAGCAACAGCAGCAGCAATATTTCCAACAGCAACAGCAGCAACAGATTGGGATGTGCATGCAGCAAGCAAATGCAAATGCAAATGCAAATGCAGATAAAGGATTTAGGAATGCAGCCATGAATCGCATTGGAATCGGTAGAGTTGATTAGCTTAGTTTCGGAGAGGAGAAAGAAACTATCTCTGTTTCTTATTAGCGAATATTTCCAGAAAATAATTTTGGTCAGTGTACAGTAAGAATCAAAAAAATGGGTAGAAAAATAGTTGTTGAAAGATGCGAGAAAGGAAAAAGTTTGGATCTTTTCTATCCATCCCATTCTGAGAGAACTCTTTAGGAAAATGAGATTATATATATATATATCAAGCCTAAGTTCATTTCCCGTGTTTAGTTTTTCTAAGTTACATTTAACAAAATTAAAGTTGGTTTTGTTTTGCGATTACAGTAGCTGCTATGTGTGGTATTGGTGACATATTTTGAAGATTATTCCTATTCTTGTTGGTTACAAATAAGGCACTGTTAGTTTCTGGTTCAAAGTTAATGATAATGCAGAAATAGAAGGTAGTTGTGATTGAGAGGATGAATTATAAATGCAGGCAGACAGAAATTTCTAAACAAAATGGATGCAAAAGGGATATTATGGACAAACCTAAATGAATTAACCTATTGTATAATGATGCTTGACAACCTTGGTGTTGTTGAAATCCAGAATATTGATTTAAAAAAACAGTTTTTGAAATTGAAGAATGTAATATTATTGAGTATGAATTGTCAACCAAAATTGTCAAATAAAATTGTCCAAGTAAATGGACTGAACTATAATAAAAAATGACAGATGAATCAGTGGGCAGCTTCCAATTAAATGGGGCATCGGCAGCTTCCAATTAAATGGGGCATCTTTCAAACTACATCTTTTACTACTATTGACCGTCGGCATTCCGTGTATAATCCATGCTAGAACTGCAGTAAAATAAGGTTGGGGACTCCTGTCCACTGAAAATGAAATGATTCATTTGAACTTAATTACAGAATTTTCAAGAACCACCAAAGGTAAAAATACAAGTATTTTGCTATTTGTACCTAGGACTTGACACGCCCTTCACAAGAAATGGGGCCCGTGCTGAATAAAAAAAATGTGTGGACCCCCCTATTGTGAGGGGAGTGTAACCGGACATGTCATCGCCCGAGTACATATAGCATGACCCAAAATACAATTCATTTCAAGTTCAAATTTGACTTCTAAAGTGGAAGCTTCAACAAGAAAACAGAGATTTTGATGATGATGATGATGATGATAATGATAATAAGAGGTTCGCTGCATCTATTCACTTCGATATTGATGGGATTGTCATTTTCGAACATAAAAAATAGCTAATTCATAGAGGTATTTACAGGTGGAATAACTACATTAACCCTGTCAACCTCAAAACTTTTTAACAAGGAACTTAATGCTTTGTGGTATACTTGAAGAGAACTCAACCCAATCCATTCACCAGTACAAGAACCAGAAACCAACAATACATCGCAAATGGTGTAATTACAAAGTTACAGTTTGGATGGTGCGACGATTTTTGAAGAGTTCAAATAGAGATTTTAATTTCGCAATCAGTGTCTGAATATCGTGCCTCCAGGACCATGTTGGGGTATGTAAAGCACGGATTGAGTTCAGACAAACAAGAAGGGTACCGCCTTCGTGCAAAAGAACCTGCATGTTAATGTAAAGTTAAGAAGAAAGTAAGACCTTGAGTACAAAGTAAATTGACACGATTATTAACATAGGAAAAAAAATTCACTTCAATCACAAATATCCTATGCAGTTACTTAGCTGATAGAATTTGTAATACATTTTCTTTGACACCAGACGAAAAATCGCAACAGCCTAAAGGAATGAAAATTGAAGTATGCACATGCAAATAATGTTCTTAGAAGAAACATACCGCTAACCAGAGAGGGAGAAACCCCAAAACAGATGTAAGAGATGCCACAACAATGCTAGATAATGCAAGGGCTACGTTTTGCTTAACCTGCACGTGAAGAGCATTAATATTTATAATAATTTGGACAATAAAAAATACACACACACACACAAACAAAGAAAAGGAAAATGACATACCAAAGAAGTCGTTTGCCGAGACTTAGCAACGCAAAATGGAACCCCCGAAATATTGTCCTGCAGCAACATCACATCTGCAACAGCTATAGCAGTTGCACTGGCACGTTCTACTAGAACAACACCCACGGTGGCAGCTGCCAGGGCAGGTGCATCATTGATACCGTCACCTACCATTATAAGGCCTCCCCCTGCCCGAAAAATTCAAAAGATAAACATCATTATGTATTCTATATTTATTTTAATGTGTTGCTTGTAATCAGCAATTGATATGCATGGTTAACAGTACACAAGACATCACTTTCCAATGTCCAGCTAAAAAAGATTGCATGATGGAGCAATGTAATTCTCAAGTACATTTACAAGTGCAAATTAGGCAAGTTGATATTACGGATCTATTCATTGATTATATGTTTCTGGAAGAAGTCTCAGTCACACAAATAGAATATGCTATACATTATAGCACTAAATTAAAAAAAAAAAAAAAAAAAGAAGCAGCAAAGTTTCATCTTAAAAGGTCAACCTTGTTAAGAGGAGAAACACAAGTCCTTAATCGACGGGGGAAATTACCATTAACAATCTCCTGCAAAATGACGTCTCTTTTGAGCACAACAATCATGGAATCCAAATGTTCGTTTGAGTTTATTAGGCTTCGATACCATACTAAGACATGATATTCCATCTTAAAAGCCAACCTTCTTAAGAGGACAGGTGTTTCAGTTTCACTTTTATTTGATGTAGGCAGTTCCCTTAGCATTACTCTCATCTCATAAGAGTGAAAATCAATTGAATATTGTTAGAGATTTAGTGTGATGTATGGAATATGACAAGGGTGGAAGGGGTGCCTCGTCACAAAGGGGGTAGCATTGACCAAGCCCCAATACTGTCACCAATCAAAACACCATCATCACAAGAAAAGAGTTGCCAGCTTCTTGCTATGCATGATGAGGGATTATAAACTTGAATATAGTTATTGCAACTAAATATGGAGGGAGCAAAAAAAATTGACGGTCAACTATATTAGGGACTGAATATGCAGATATTTGCACCTGCATCTCTGGAAATACTAGTAACGTGATAAAGTTTATCCTCAGGCTTTAGGCTGCAGTGAACTTCTTTGATGCCCACAGCATTTGCCACTCTCCATGCACTTGACTCATGGTCACCAGTCAACATCATGACTCGGAGCTTTCCATCATCTTGCAACGCTTTTATGACATCTGAAGCACCATGTCGAGGCTTGTCTTCAAAATGGAATAAAGTCACCTGCATTTCAAATATAAAAATAAAGTTAAAGAGTTCAAAGTTTTTTCACACGCAAGAATCTAAAAATAATGTAGTAGATTAAGGGGCTATTGGATTCACAAGGCCTTAAAACATTTAGTTGACAAAAATGTCAATATGACATTACTATTTTGTTATTTTCATTGATTCCCATGTTTTAGGTAGGAAATTTGTGTGCTGGAAACTAGGCCGGATTTATTACTTGCAAATTCATGGAAATTACATATTAATAAAAACAATGAGAAAGCATCATTTGCTCAGATAATACAGTAGCAACCACGACGAATGATGTCTGAATGTAAAATCTATGCTCCTCGCTCTGGTTATTCGATCATATCCCTCTAGTCTTATTTGTACGCTACTCTCATTGCTTTTTATTGAAAACAAGGTTTAAATGTTATATACACATGCCCCTCCAACAACTAAACTTTCAGATCAAGGGATTCAACACGATATCGAAACAAGCAAACGTCCTGGGTTCAAGTCTCGCTGCTACCCATTTAATTGCTTATGAACATGTTAGGTTTCAATTGAAAAAAATGAGCTCAGCTATAGGTGAAGTGGTGTGTTGAAGACCAAGATTTAAATGTGTATAAATCCCTATAATTGTGGTGTAACTAAATCCCTATAATCATGTGATTAAATTATGGGATGTTGGTGATTGATTTTGTCTATATTATTAATTTATCTTAAATTAGGCAAATTTCTTTTTCCATTTTTTGGAAATCGTACGCATAATGTTAAAAAATAGCCGTTGGCTGATTTTTCAATTTGAAACTTGGGAGCTGTTTTGGATTAAAAGTTGCCACTTTTCATCTTATTTTGGCACCATTTCGTGATGCATTGATTGAGACCTATAAATAGGTGATGAATGATCAATACAAACATTATTTTAGAATCATTGAAAACATCTTGAGATCCATATATCATTCCATATTGAGTCAAACTATTGATTTACATTCTTATTCAAGATCTTCCTTTGTGTTCTTAAAGTTTTGGAGGATTGTACTTGTGTTTTGGTGTTAAATCCTTTACAAGGTTTGATATAATCATACAAACCGTTTGCCAAAATCTTTAAGCATCTCATTCAATCTCGAGAGGGAAAAATATAGTTTGAGGACAACGATCACGTGTTCAAGCCTCAAATTTGTTCTTGACGTATTTCGTGATTTCTATTCATTTTGTTTCTATAATATTATTGTTGTTTCTTCTCCAACTCCTTATTTTCCAACAATCTCAAACTATATTTTGCGATGGAGAATGATACAACTATGGCAACCATCAAACTCATGAATCAAGATCTGGTTAGATTGGATCGTTTTGGCGAGACCAACTTCAAGCCGTGGCAAGACAAGTTGAAATTCCTCCTAACGGCGTTGAAATTTTTTTATATTCTTGATCCAAATTTGGCTCCTTTGCCGGAACCAACGAATGGAGAATCTGAAGCAATCAAGATCGAGAGACAAAAAGGCCAAGAAAATGAATTGATTTGTCGTGGCCACATCTTGAATGCATTGTCGGATCGTTTGTATGATTTATACACCAATACAACTTCGGAGAAAGAAATCTGGGAAGCATTAGAAAGTAAGTACAAGGTGGAAGAAGAAGGTACAAAGAAATTTTTGATTTCTAAGTATTTTGATTTTAAATTCTTAGAAAATATCCCTCTTCTTCCCCAAGTGCATGAGTTGCAAGTGATTGTCAACAAATTAAAGGCGGTGAAAATTGATATACCGGAGACCTTTCAAGTGGGCTATAATTGTCAAACTTTCCGGAACTTGGAAAGGATACCAGAAGAAGATCATGCATAGTTCCGAAAATTATTCTTTGGAACAATTGCAAAAGCATCTTCGAATCGAAGAGGAGTCGAGAATACGGGAGAATGATACAACTATGGCAACCATCAAACTCATGAATCAAGATCTGGTTAGATTGGATCGTTTTGGCGGGACCAACTTCAAGCCGTGGCAAGACAAGTTGAAATTCCTCCTAACGGCGTTGAAATTTTTTTATATTCTTGATCCAAATTTGGCTCCTTTGCCGGAACCAACGAATGGAGAATCTGAAGCAATCAAGATCGAGAGACAAAGGCCAAGAAAATGAATTGATTTGTCGTGGCCACATCTTGAATGCATTGTCGGATCGTTTGTATGATTTATACACCAATACACGAGGCCAAAGTGAATTCCCTCCAAGATGACAAAATTATGGCCACCATAAGTGAAGTAAACGCAATCAAAGGAAATGTTCCCGGGTGATGGTATGATACTTGTGCTACGGTACACATGTATCATATGATAAATCTTTGTTCAAAACTTATCAAAAAGTAGATGGAGAAAAAGAGATTCAAATAGGTAACGAGATGCGGTTCAAGGTGTTTGGAAAAGGAAATGTAGACATTATCTTCACTTCCGGAAAATGGAGACCTTTCAAGTGGGCTATAATTGTCAAACTTTCCGGAACTTGGAAAGGATACCAGAAGAAGACCATGCATAGTTCCGAAAATTATTCTTTGGAACAATTGCAAAAGCATCTTCGAATCGAAGAGGAGTCGAGAATACGTGATAAAACGGCAAACTTGTATTATCCCTTAATGAGAAATTTGTTTGAAGAGGCTATTTGTGTGAAGGAATGGTCAAATTATGTACCATTGACAATGAAATGAATAAAAGTAATTTTGCTTATGTTGTGAATTTGTGGAAAAAATAGAACCGCCAGCAAAATCCAACAAAAGGAAGCCTTCTAGGAACTTTAACAAGTCTAAGAAGAAGACAAAATGAGGTTGTTTTGTGTGTGGAAAATCTGGTCACTATGCCAAGGATTGTAGGCACTGAAAACAAAATAACTTTGAGGCCAAAGTGAATTCCCTCCAAGATGACAAAATTATGGCCACCATAAGTGAAGTAAACACAATCAAAGGAAATGTTCCCGGGTGATGGTATGATACTTGTGCTACGGTACACATGTATCATATGATAAATCTTTGTTCAAAACTTATCAAAAAGTAGATGGAGAAAAAGAGATTCAAATAGGTAACGAGATGCGGTTCAAGGTGTTTGGAAAAGGAAATGTAGACATTATCTTCACTTCCGGAAAAACCGTTACTCTAACTAATGTACTACATGTCCCGGATATGAATAGGAACCTAGTTAGTGGCAATCTATTGGGAAAACTGGGCATCAAATGTGTTTATGAGTCCAGCAAACTTGTACTATCCCTTAATGAGAAATTTGTTTGAAAGGGCTATTTGTGTGAAGGAATGGTCAAATTATGTACCATTGACAATGAAATGAATAAAAGTAATTTTGCTTATGTTGTGAATTTATTTTCATTATAACATGCTAGATTAGGACATGTTGGTAAAAATACAATGAAACGCTTGAAAAAATATGACTTAATCTCATATGATGAAAATAATGAACATAAATGCCAAATATGTGTAGAATCTAAAATGATTAAAAAACCATATCTAAGTGTTAAGAGAACCTCTAGTATTTTAGAATTAATTCATACTAATATATGTGAACTTAATGGTATGTTAACTAGAGGTGAAAATAAATATTTCATAACTTTTATAGATAACTTTTCTAGATATACATATGTTTATTTGATAAAACATAAAAGTGAAGCTTTTGACATGTTTAAAACATACAAGAATGAGATTGAAAATTATCTAGGAAGGAAAATTAAAATTTTAAGGAGTGATAGAGGTGGTGAATACTTTTCCAATGATGTTAATTTGTTTTGTGAACAACATGAAATTATTCATTAATATTCTGCACCTAGGACACTCGAACAAAACGGCTTGTCTGAAAGAAAAAATAGAACATTTGTAAAAATGATAAATGCCATACTTATTCATGCTAAGTCGCCATTTAACTTGTGGGGTAAAACTTTATTAAGTGCATGTAGAATACTTAATAGGATTCCTTCAAAATATACCAAGGTTTCTCCTTATGAATTGTGGAAAGGAAGAAAATCGAATATTGGATACTTCAAAGTGTAGGAATGTCTTGTTTATTGCAAGAACATGAACCATAATATGACTAAATTGGGTTCAAGAAGCATTAAATGTGCCTTTGTTGGATATGCAAACAATAACAAATCTTATAGATTACTAAATTTGGAGTCCAATGTGATTATGGAATCCAACGATGTGGAGTTCTTTGAGGATTCGTTATCTACGGATAATGAATTGAGGAAAAATCTTGAAAATATCCCTAACTCAAGTGAAACACATGATGAAATATGTTCTAAGGATGTTGATGAATCTAGTGAACCACAAAGAAACAAGAGAATTCGAGTTGAGAAGTCTTTGGGATCGAATGAAATCGATTCTCAACTTATCTCCTTTTACTTAGTAGAGGGAAATGAGTTGAATATTGTGAGAATAATTCCTTTTGTTCTACAAGTAGAAACCGACCCTAAGACTTATAAAGAAGCTATGACTTCTCGTGATAGCACATTTTAGAAAGATGCAATTAAGGACGAAATTGATTCGATAATGTCCAATAATACTTGGGAACTTGTTGATTTACCACCGGGATCCAAGCCTACTGGATGCAAATGGGTATTTAGGAAAAAATACAACGTTGATGGATCCTTAAATACCTTCAAGGCTAGATTAGTAGCCAAAAGATATCAAGAAAAGGAAGGAATCGACTATTTTGATACTTATGCATCGGTAGCTAAAATAACATCGATTAGGATATTATTCGCTTTGACTTTAATATATGACTTGCATGTTCTTAAAATGGATGTCAAGACGGCATTCCTAAACGGAGATCTCAATGAGGAGGTCTATATGGAACAACCCGAAGGGTTTGAGTTGCCCTACCTGAAAATGAACATAAAGTGTGCAAGTTGGTGAAATCTTTATATGGTCTGAAGCAAGCACCAAAGAAATGGCATGAAAAGTTTGACTTAACAATAATATCATTCGAATTTAAACATAATAGCGTTGATAAATGTTTATATTCTAAAGTTTGTGATGATTATGTGAC